ATTCTTGGGCAAAGTCCACAGAACTTTCTACACCACCTTCCTGGAACTAATTCTTTGCAAGTTGCATTGCTTTTGATGAGTAGAGGGCACAGATCTTCCGAAAAGTCATCTGCTTCATTTTTGCAAGGATAAGAACAGTCTTCCCAGTCCCATCCAGATTTACAAGAATCGCATCTACATGTTGCCGGATTGGGACGTACACAGTTTTTGCAAGATGTTTTACAAGAACAGTCCAAGTTATATTTTTTGCATATGCTATTTTCAATGCATAAATTTTTATGGCAGAGGTTACCATCGTACGATTTGCATCTGGTGCAAGGCTTGCCCACACGAAATATAGGAAATCCAAAAATAACTTAATTGCCAGCTGTAAAATAAAAGCAGCTGACCAAAACATGCGTCTTTTCCAAAGGAAAGCAGTAACTTCTTCTTGCGCAACCTATTTCTGTAGTATCGCCCCAAAGCATTTGTGTGAAATGCCCACACTTGTACTTTGAGAATGGCGTTTTGCAAGACATATTGTAGAACGAATAATCTTCGTACTCTTTGTACCACAGCCACATTGCTCTTGAAGGAGTTCGTGAGTTACCTTTGTACATATTTTGACCGATGACTTGTGTCATGTTATTTCTCTCTGATAGGGCAGACTGCCATTTGCATTCCTTCACCCACTCTCTGGCCTATTCTTCTAAGATGGGGCTGTATTTCATGAAATTCATATCAGATGCTTCAGGTATAATGCCAGTCATATTTGCCCTATATATGTTATGATGATCTACAAACTCCTGCTTTTGCTCTGGAGTATAAATATCGACATCATATTCAAGCTTCGATTCTGAAAGGGCAATTATATCAGCCAAATCGAAATCTTCATAATCATCCTCTAATAATGGATCCAGACCATGCATATAATTCAGATTTTCATTTGGGTCAAGATTTCGAGGTTTCAATTTCGATTCGACATTATCCCATATTGAATAACTTCTATTATTGTTGAATTCTTCATCCCATAATCCATATCCAGAAATACTTAAAACAAATACAATGCTAAGGAATCGTAAATTTTTCATCTTTAAATTTCGTTGAATTCTCATATCCTAAACACAGATATTTCAAGTCTTGCACGAGCAAATGTTCTGCCTTGCTTGTGGTTAAGGTTAAAAGTATTAGTAATGGAGAAAAATTCTGAAAGTTAAACTCGTACAAATAATGGCCTGTTTACTCAATAATTCTTGGCATTTTAATGAAATTTTAAAATTTTATCTCATTACAGGATACGTTGACAAGAAATAATGGTAAACGCTCGGAGTGCACTAGATAAGCAAAACTGCGAAGGCGGAGCTAAGTGACGTCAATATATGGATGTGACTAAGCTCGTGACTTCACAATGTATTCGCACATTTTATATTACGTGTATTTACTATTTTCTGCCGAAAATGATAATAATCAGTTGTTCATTACTGTAAATTAATATTAATTTTTTATTACATTTCTTTCTAACAATTAACCTTTGGTTTTACTGGAAAATAAGTATAATAAACTATTTATTTTAAATTTAACAAATATTGTCTATTCGTATAAAGCGAATAGAAACGAATAGAAAATTTAACAAGTATTCTTTATTCGTATAAAGCAAATATAAAATTAAAATTTTAAATTTAATTAAGAACTTTTAATTCCAAAGAAATAAAAAAATAATTATTATTGCTGCGAACTAATTTACAATATAATTTAAATTATAAGAGCATATGCAAATTAATTGCACTTATCTAAAACTCCTAAAAAATATATTATTCCAAAAAATTAAATTTATTATTCCTAAAAATTTTTGAGCAGGTAGGAGACGGACTTATCAAGGGGAAGTTGCCCCCATACCTAACTCTTCATTTACTCAATTCGTGTTTCGTCATCCCTATAGGCAAGGGTAAAAGTAAAATTCAAAACCAAAAGTAAAAACAAATGTTGTGAATTACAAAAAAGGAAATTTAAACAGTGGAGTTTTGAGAAAATAGCAAGTAAATGACTAGAGTTAAAATTAATTAAAAGCCAATAAGGAGTAGAAAACCAATTTTTTTAGAAAAACCGAAGTAATTTAGAAACTCTTCCCTACAGGAAACTTCCCCTACATGAATTATCCATGTAAACCTAAAATAAACTATATACAATAATTAAAATATAAAAATAAAATATAAATAAAAAGGCAACTAAAAGTAAAAAACATTTAGTCCTTTATAAAGGACTAAATGTTTCGAATTCAGAATAAAAATAAGGAAAATGTAGTTTATTGGATTTCCATAAATGAAATAATTAAAAGCTGCAAAAGCTCAATTAAGACTAAAGAAGTCGTGGTTTTCAGAAGTTTTTAGAAGAATGAACGACATTTAAGAATAAAGCCGTTAGTCGAATAAATATAAAAAATTTATTATAACTCACCTTTATACGGAATTTTGGAAGATTATTGTTCTTTACGAAACAATCTCTTAGTTCATTGCCAAAATCATCGCAGAGTTTGAAAATCACTTTTTCTCTCCTTTAAAATACAGTATTAGCTTCATTCAAGCAAAGATCTGAGATAGTAAATATCTTTCAATTATTTCTTTTAATTTTTTTTTTTTTTTTTTTTTTTTTTTTTTTTTTTTTTTTAATCTAAAAATTTTTGTTTTCCTACATTTCATGAGAGGTCAAGTCCCACTCGGGTCCCTAGACTGACAATATCGCGGAAACAGGAAAGTTTTTGACAATCGCGGAAACAAACAGGAATCGGGGGAAAAGGAAGACACCTATAGCAGTTATGACAGGGAGCATTCTGACGAAAAATGGCGCGAACTCTACATTTATAGTAGCGATTACATTACATGCCAGAATGTTCTCGAAAGTACTGGTATGGGGGGAGATCCTGAAATTGCGGAAACTTACTCGGAGGTTGTCAGTTCGCGTAGATATATAGAGCAGAATAAATACAAAAATACAAAAATATTTAGATCAGAGCCATCGTATTTTTTATATTTTAATATATATATATATATATATATATATATATATATACCTGTTTCTTACCCTGCTGGGTAAGCTCTGTGTTTGTATTCTTATGTTTGTAAATTGTGCACTTTTTGCTTTAAAAGTAATTTAATTATTTTGTTCTTATTTTCTGGTTTAGATTTTATGACTTTAGTTAATCTGCATGGAATATTTGCAGAACTATCAATAATTAAAAAGTCTGATTGGCGCTAGTCCTAAAGAGGCAGCCATTTATTTACATTTGAAGCTCTTAGTAGATTAGTGAATTAAGTCAGTTGGTGCATCAAATTCAGTGCCTTTTTCCCCAGTGGCACCGAAAGTTAACTTTCAGTTTAATACACCGAAAACTTCGTCTTCCTGTCCGTTAACCGAATTGCTTTTTTTTGCGTACAAATTCTAATTTTAATTGTGACAATTTTTTTAACTGCATTGCGAGAACTGAATTGATTGAATACAAAAATATATCTCTAATGAAGTTCGAGGAAATAAATTTAAACGAAGTGCAGCAAAAAATGTTTATAATGGAATAGGCCGTACAAGGAAGTCATATACGGAACCACACCAGATAATTTCCAATATAAAATATAAGTTTTTTTGAAAATTTCTAAAAAGCAGTGAAATAAATGTAGAAATATTTTCCAGTTTTAGTAATAGGTATTATTATTTTCTTGCTTTTGCACAATGACATCTACCAAAATGATTTCAGTGATTTTAGTGATTGTTAGGATTTAAAATTTAATCAATACAAGGTCTTTCCTTATTTCAAATAGTCCTTCCCTTTAAATACATATGCATAATTGCAAAAAAGATTTCTCTTTTATGAAGTAATATTGATTTAAACATCCAAACAAAGTACAAAAATATAAAATAGCAATTAAATGCATTCATCAACAAAGTTATCCTTTACAATAATAATAAATTAATTTTTTGAATAATTTTATAATAGTTGGTATTATAAAATATCCCACAATGTATTTGATCAATTTTACTGTTTTAAGGAAATAAAAGGGAATTCAACGAAATTTCCCTACAACGTTTGTTTACTTTATGGCTAGTAGATGGCGCCACGTCTTATGCAAATATTTTCCTGTGATCTCGGTTTAACGAATCGATATTGCGATAGAAATGAACGAACATATAAGGTCTGGCCAAGATTTGCGAAAGAAATCTGTTTTGAAAAGTTCGTTTAAATATAATATTATTTTGGTACTGAATAAAATTACAAATGTTTGCGTACCAGAAAAAAGAATACTTTTTAGAACATAGTCATGGCAATATAAGTAATAAAAATCCTGCACGTTTTAATTAGAATTTAAATTTTCTGCATCAACTAAATTCTTCTCGATGAAGGAACCGAATTTTCATGTTGAAGAAATGTGTCCGTATAATTTATTATTTCAGGCAACTATTTGGAAATATAAATTTTAATTCGGTTGCGCTTAAACTTTTGCTAATCTTCACGTAAAGTGTAGACTGCCCGCCTCATCGGCGTAATTGTTTCTATTTGATTCGCATAACTCACACACAATTTTTCATTGATATATATTTATTTCTACAGTTCGAGTTCATTTATAAATCCTATTAACAATTACTGAGTAATCTTTATCAAAATTAATGTTAATTATTGAATAATTATGTTATTATTACGAATTAATAAATAATTATCTAATTAATTATTAATGTTAAGAATTACTGAGTAATTTTTTTAAATCTTGAATTTTGAATATGTTTTTAATGAGCCAAAATAATTAAAAGACATCAATCGGAAGTTACAGTCAAAAGTTTGTTTACAGTCTTATATTACAAAAGGCGAAGAGAAACCAGTCAATGCATGCGCTTACAGAGTGTTTAGGTGTTGTCATAGTTTTTTCTATATCTCGCTATATTATTTATATTTGGGATGCAAATTGATAAAGGGCATCCGGATTTGCTCCGAATTTCTTCACCTGCAAAAATTGCTACTGCTTGGAGTCGTAAAAAATGTTCCATGTTTGTTCCCAAAGTTTACAAGAGCTATTAAAATACAAAAATAGTAACTCATTGTCTGAAAACATTGAAAAATATCAAAATGTTTAATTTAATTGTTCTTTGTTTTGAAGTTGACGATGGCAAAGATTTGTAAAGCAATTTAAAACGGAACACTAAATTTTAAAATCTTTATTTTAAAAACATGTGATTTTTTAGATATATATATATATATATTTAAAATTGTGATATTGAAGCTGAAGATAGCAACGATTTGTAAAGTAATTTAAAATGGAGTATTGAGTTTCCAGACTTTTCTTTTTAAAAACAAGTAAAAATTTTTTAATATATTTAAAGTTCTGAATTTTATGATTCCAATAATGTAGTCGATAGGATGTCATCAAGTCTTATTATTATCTAATTTTAAGAGTTGCGTTCTGCCAATTGTTTCGATTAGGAGAAATTATGAGCTTTTAAGGCATGAGTTACCTTTTTTAATTATTGTTTACTTTACTTGTTATTTATTGCTACTTTGAGGGTTTGCAGTGACATTATCGTCTTAGTAATATGAAACTGGATTAAAGTTAACTTAAAGTTGGCTTTATTATCTATTTTTTAATTCTTCTTCCCATGCATTTCATACATTAGAGAATTTTACGCGATAGCGTTTTCGT